AGGCTATACAAACGACATTAAACAGGGTTTGGTGGAAAATAAATCTTGATTAAATGTAATATGTACGTGCAGAAACATACATACGGTAAATTGACGGTATGGACACACACTTGCATGTTTCACGCTTGAACAAATACGTAAAAGCTGAATACCGTAAACAAAAAATTTCGAAAGTTTTTATTTGTTTACGTTTCCAGAAAGCTTTTAAAACGGCAGCCGGCTCTTATTTTGAACCCTGAAGATAATACCGGAAAACGATGTAGATCAGAGTATTCAATCATGATTGCTTACCGGGCTGATAACTGACTTATCTTTCAGGCTGATAAGAGAAATGATAATCGAGTGACACTGCCATATGCCAAAAAAATTATTACGTTTTAAAGATTCCCGCTTTCAAAGATTCCCCATTTCGAAGATTCCTGCCTTTAGAGATTCCCCGTTTTAAAGATTCCTGCTTTCAAAGATTCCCCGTTTTAAAGATTCCCGCTTTTATAAATTCTAGTGAGACCTTCGCTAAATCATTTGATTCTTTTCCTATTTTGAGTTCGCGGAACAACCCGTTTCGAACTATACGCTTATTACACAAGCCATCTTTTAAAATGGGTCTACCGCAAACGGTGTGTGGGTCTGTAAGCTTGAGTGTAGAAAAGATGACACCATTCATTAAGATATTCGACAAATTCACCATGTTCGACATGGTGGAAAGAAGGTTGGGCCTCTGTTACGTGTCTGCGGTATTCCCCATTGCACGTGACTGAGCTTTGTGGAGAAACCCGAGGGTAAACCTATAGTCGGTCGCCCGACTAATAATTTTAAACAGATAAAACTTTTTACATGACCTGCATATTGTTTTGCGGATGAATTTTTGTTTTACGTAATAACAACTTATTTGTAACACACTTGACTTACGAAGAAGCAGAATGCAAGGAGTTCGTCGCCACGGATCTAGTTAAATGGCCTAGCTAGCTTGCCTCAAGTCTCCTAGAGCTCAGTGGTACAGCATTCGAAGTACTACATATTAAGAAAAGCGGATCAGCTTAAAGTTAAGCAGGCTTTGTTTAACGATTAACAATGACCATATATGGCTAATTTGGAACAATGGCGGAAACAGCTTTAAAAAACACGCGGGATTTTTCAAAATTTCCGATTATCATACGAGCGGCAGATTTAAACCATCGGCAAAACTGATGATAAGACAAATCCTCCCCGTGGGGGTGATTCTGGTAGATTTTTTAGGATGCAAATAGTCACGGTGGGGTGGATGGTGGGGCGACTGTAGCTTTCGTATCTGAAGTAAAGAGATGTCACTGTTTTTCCCTTCATATTGCTTAAAACTGGCGAAAGATATATTCAATTAGAGGCTCACTGCGCGATGCAAAGGTAATGAGAGCATGTGTAACCTGGTATTAACGTCCGAAGCCTACCACGCTGTCGAATCATGTAGAAGACTATCGTCATTTGCTCGATTGTTTAATGTGCGTGTATCTAAATTTCGCGCTGCGTGAATGAGATTTTGTTCCCGATGTGCACAAAAAGGTTCATATTCTCCTTCCTCTAGCGTGTGACTTAAACCTGGTGA